GTTTTCTAACATTTTTTTGTTTTGTTTGTTCGTGCATGTCATGTACTAAGTTTTTGTTGTGTGGATGTATTAAATTTTTGTTCTGTGTGGATAAAAAATACATTTGTTGAGAGGTGTAACTAAGTAATAGTTAATGGTGTTTTTCCTTTCAAAATTGGTATTCTCTTGGTGAAAGATATCTAAAAACAATGAGTATCATCTTTGATTGAACTAAGGTTTAAAAATCGGTATTCTCTTACTGAAAGATAAGTAAAAACAATGTGTGTGGGTCAATGCAATCCTATTCAAGCTTATCGATCAAATAACAAAGAGAAAATGTTTTTGAGTTCTTGAGATCTTATGTTTGCGGCTAATCAAAGGAACCGTCCACTCCTTCCTGCAAAACTACACTAATTTCTACAAACATTGCATAAAAGAGTTTTGCAAAAAAAAAAAACAACTAATAAGGGTATCCATCAAACGAGCATCACACAAATTCAGAAATAAGACAAGCGTATGCAGTATGATTGAATCTCTTTCTCTCTTTATATACATCATTTGGAGAATCACAACCCAAGGGTATAACAATGGACGTATATCAAAAAGACTATATGTGCGCTTATGACTAGTCGATGCATCAGTGTCTCTGCAGCTCTCTGTTCGTGAGAGTAAATGCGACTAGTTTACTACATTTACTTCACTGGAACATGAGCATTGAACTCTTCATAAGCTCCAACCCTTCAATGCAGAGGCAATTCAGAAAAGTTATCAAGCATTACAAATCGTAGAACTCAATTGGTCAGACTCATAGGAAACAATCACAGCAAACAAACTCTGCTCCAATAGATTTAAGAAATATGTATTCAACTCGGCGAAACAGAAAATGGGCAGTAACTATGCTCATCCGGCAATATCACTGAAATTCAATGCTCAAACTGCTGCTTCTTGGGAATGGTCCCTCTTCGTTTTGGACAGATTCATTGTAATTGCTCATATGATAAGAACAGAAGCTGTAAAAAAACTACACTTCAATTCATATTCAATTCACAAAACAAGAAACAACTTGATAAACGAGAGACTCTCAAACTATCGACCAAATCTCGAAGCCAAATCCTAGAACAATCCACACATCCTAAACAATTTGCCGATACATCCTTATAAACCTAGCCTCCTCACTAACTGCTCTGTAACCAAATCACAACAGGCCAACATCAATAATCTACTACATTCAAATCCTAAACTAGTTAGACTGTTAGAGTAGACCTATGGCTTGAGAGCACCTGAACTTGTTCAAATTGCCATTTGGAACATTAGAGAGAGACCAAAATATCGTCCAAATTCATCATGAACATAAGAACAATCCAAAACCTATACATTGAACTCAATATGAGCTTCATCTCCTACAAAGCAAAAGACACAAACTCAATCTCATAAAAACTAAAACCCAATAATCATACACAATTGCTTATCATAGTGATGGATGATGAATTGATGATACTCTGCACAAAGCCAATTCACATAAGGAAGGAAAAAAACACTCGTAGGCATTGAAGAATAGGAAGAAGAAGAATCTATACAGATTGAGCAAAACAAAAAACCAAAATCAAAAGAATCTATTATAAGAATCACTCCCCCAATAATCAAACTTAAAGAATCACCGATGGGGATTGCAGTCATTAGAGCAGAAATCATTGGTTTCTAACATAACTCTGAGCATCTCATGAGTGAAGCTTTCATCGTTAGGATCAGAAGTCGGAGACTCACACGAATCCTCCTCCCCTGTTCTGCTTCTTCGAGGAGGTCTCATCACAGAAAAGCAGCCTCCTTTACGTGACCCAACAACAGAACGTGAAGACGAAGAAGAAGAACATATCTTTGGTGATTTGGGTTTCTTTCTGATCTTGTCTATGAATCGCTTCCTGGGTTTCGAAATCGAAGGCATTACCGATTGATTCACA